TTCTAACAAGATTTAAACAGCGTAAATCATTCTGCATGCATTTTACATATATACATTCAGTATCACCCCACCAATAAATTCCGCTTTTTCTACCGGAGAGAGATTATACCCCCATTCAATCCACAACTTTGGCGAATATTTTAGAATGTCTAAATCCTCAAACTCCGCTTTTCTGCTTCTCCGAGGGAGGGGGAGCTACCCCCTCCATCTTGCAGCCATGTGGTCTGTTGCTTGCCTTCTCCTTCGGCTTGTCTCTCCTCTTTTCCAAGTGAATCAGGAAGTCCCGCCTTGCAGTATTTTCAATATTAAGCAAAAATCAAGAACATGGGGGCATAATCTCAAATTGACAGGAGGGAAGTTCAAAAGTAATATTAGAAGTTTATAAGTTGACAGAAAGTGTAGTGGAAGCTTGGAACCAACTTCCAGAAGAGGTAGTGGATCAGTCATTAGCAACTGAGTTGAAACATGTTTGGGATAAACACATGTCCATTATCCAAAATAAAAAATAAAATAAATAATAATAATTAAAATAAACAAACAAATAAATAATAAAACAAAAAACTCAAAGGGCAGACTTGATGGACCACTAGGTCTTTTTCTGCCATTAGTTGTCTATATTTCTATGAAATCTTATGCATTATCACTTACCACCCCCCAAAATTGGCTTCCCTATTCATTTTTCTTAACTTGAAATATAGAATTACAAGAAAGTAAAATAATATGGATCTGCTATGTTATCTTTAATTCCATATAATTGTCTGATTCTTTTCTCCTTCAGCCCTGTTTTTCCAGGACTATTTGAATTTTGTTCTCGATACACTGGAGCTTCCTTGCAAGGAGCAACACAGCTGAATAATAAGGTATAGAGGTGAAGCAGCCTTTTACTGTTTCATACCTTAAGATATTGACTAGAGCATTCTTCTAAATGCTGTTTTCAACTGCAGTAAAATGGCATTCATAACTTTTTATTGAATTTTATTGAAGTACGATCGTAACTAAAGTTGAATAAATGCATGAGCCTAAATTAATAATTTGTAAGAATGCATTTTAAACTGTAATTTATGGCTTTCAGTACTCAGAACAATGCACATAAAGGTTTCATTTTTAGAAAGTCCATATTATATAAAACAATTATTTTTGTCAGCTTTTTAGATTAATTTTGATGGAATGATAGTACTTGTGAAATTATAGGGATATGAACTAGTTACATTTTAATTAATTGTGGAAATTTGGGAGAATATTTTTGATAACTTTTGTCAAACTCATCAGATTTCTGTGGCCTGCTATTTTGATTGGGTTTTGATCTATTACTTAGAACCTCAGAATATATTGTGATCATTTTCTGTTCCTCTCTCCAGCCCTTTAATTTGTATTTAGATCTTTCTTGTCCCAACCTGCTTCCTTGACTCAAATAACTGCTTTTTTTAAGCTTTTGCACTTTCAGACAGATGTCAGTTATAAGATCTACCAACTTGTAGAAATAAGATATAAGAAAGCAGAATAGAATGTAATTGTATGTAAGCAAATATATACAGCATATATGTATGTATGTAAAATATTTGTGATTATTTCTTTAATCAATGTACATTTAAGAATAGTTTTTAAATCCTTTTTAATATTTTTTAAATTGTACCCTGATAATTTATGCAAAGGCTTACACAGTGCTTGGCACTGTTGCAAAGGATGACAAGAATGATACTTTAATACATATGTACACATACCTGAACATGTGGAACTCCTAGTAAAGGCAGAGGTCTGTATCCAATTTGAACAAGGAAGAAGCAATTACTAGAAAAAATGAAGCCCAAGAGGAAGATAGTTGATAGCATGTTATTTACAGGACAAAAAAACCCCAAAAGACTGACCTCACAACCACTGGAGCTGAACAATTTCATAACCTGCCCCTGGAGCAAAATATGCAAACATTGGGAGGATGGTCTCATTCATGTGTTTCAGTAGCTCAGACTTCCCCAAAGGAAAAAACAACAACAACAACACAGGTGTTTGTGATGAGTGACTCACTCTCAGAGCAACAGAATCAGCAATCTGTAGACCAGATAAGATTAAAGGCATGTCAGAGAGGCTAATCAAGCCCATTGAATACTATCCATTTCTACTTTTTCAGCTTGGGATAAATAATAAAACCAAGAACCTAGAAAAAATATCTAACGTTTTCAAGCAACTAGGCAGGAAAGCAAAACAATTTGGGGCATAGGTAATCTTATTTTTTATAATACCTATCAAATCCAATGAGGATTTTAAAAGGGATGGTGCCGTTGACAGAACTTTGGATTCCTGGACCATGGTGTACATTGCCTACAAAAAACACTTCTAGTAGGAGATAGAGTACAAAGCCTGGAAGAATGTGTTTGGAAAACAATTGGCTCGTCTTATCCGAAGGGCGTTAAAGTATAAATGGAAGGGAAGTGTAACCAATCTTTAAAACTAGACCAAAAGCATAAATCCCAAGACAACAAATAAGACAATGAGGAAGGAGAGGAAAATTACATATAAAACAGCAGACATAGGAAGCAAATACAGGGTCAGCCATAAAGGACTTAGGTCCTATACACTAATGCTCAAAGTACTGGGAACAAACAGGGAAAACTTGAAATCCCAGTAGATAAGGGTAGGTACGATATTGTTGCTATTACTGAAACTTGATGGATGGAACCCATGATTGGAACATACTGCTAGAAGGATATAAATTGTTCAAAAGAAAGACTCAGTGTTGCACAATATGTAAGTAATTACTATACATCTACAGAAATACATAGTACCAAGGATGAAAGCCTTCCTGGAAGCATTTGGATGAATATTAGATGGAAAAAAAATGATATTGCTGTAGGTTTATATTACAATCTGCCCAACCAAACAGATAAAATAGATGAACTTTTTGCTGATCAGTTAATGAAAGTACCATATTTTTCAGAGTATAAGACTCAAAATTTCCCTCAAAAAAGGGGGTGAAAATTTGGGTGCGTCTTATATACTGAATACAGCATTTTTTACCTCCCGAAACCCCACTCCCTTCATCAAAATAGCTGTAGGAAACTTTTAAAGAGCTGCTGGAGGCTGGGAAGGACAGAAATGAGCGAAAAACGCCCCATTCTTTGCTCAGTTTTAAACCCCCCAGCCCCAGAAGCTCTCTAAGCTTCCTAAAGGCTATCCATGCCCCCCCCTTTTTTTTTTTACAAAAAACAGGCCCGTTTTTGTGAAAAACAGGTCGTTTTTTGCTCATCTCCCACCCCCCCAGGAGCACTCTGCAAGCTCCCTAAAGGCTATTCATGCCTTTTGGGAGATGGGGGGACGGGTTCGTTTTCACGAAAAACAGGCCGTTTTTGGGAGGTTTGCAGAGTGCAAAAACTTTTTTTTTAATTTTCCACTTCAAAACCTTGCTGCATCTTATACTCCGAAAAATACGGTATATAGAAACACAGTGTTGTACTATTTGGAAACTTTAACTACACTGATAACTGGGAGACAAACCCTGCAGCAAGAAGATTAGACAGTTTCCTGATGTGTCTAGCTGCCATCTTTGTTGAGGCAACCAGAGGGTCACCTATACTTCTTTCGATATAATAAGGAAGTCAGGGAAATGATTGGTCCATTAATGGGGAAGATTGTAAGATAGTGACAAGGCAGCATAGAGAAAGTGGAACTGCATAATTCCTTCATTTCATGCAAAAGGAAGAAAAATGTTCCAGCCTATCAAAAGCAATACCATGGGAGACAGAACAGGAATGCAGGTAAAAATAGCAAAAAAAATAGTAAGAGAACACCTATCCACTTTAGATGAGTTCAAAGCATCAGGACCAGATGGTTTACATCTCAGGGTTGTGAAGTCAGTGGCAGATGTAATCTCAGAACTACTGATCAAAATTTTTCAAAGCTTCTGGAACATAGAATAACAACCAGAAGACTGGAAAAAAACTGATGTGGTTCCAATTTTCAAAAAAAAAAAGAAAAAAGTGGAACCAGGAAATTATAGACCAATCAGCTTGACATCAATACTTGGGAAAATCTTGGAAAAGATAATTTAAGCAGCAGCTTTGTGAACACCTGGAAATGGGACGATTACTAGAAGCCAACATGGGTTTGTTATTAAAAACAGTTTGTGCCAAGCAAACCTTATTGGCTTCTTTGATAAAGTGACTAAATTAGTGTCAGGGTTCCAAGTAATAAACCCAAAGCAATCAAAACACTAAGGCCTAGAGTTTCCTCAAAGCATAATTTTATTAGGAATGTCATATTGGCACAGCTGGTGAAAACTCAACTCTGAAGGACCCAGGGTTTTCCCTACCCAAATCACAACCCAAAGTTCTTCTCTTCACGTCACAAGTCCATTACATGGTCGAATCAAGTCACAGTCCCAACTCCGGCTGGCTTTTGTCTACGCCCTCCAATACCTGGTAAAGCGTCCTTGGCTCCCATGGGAAAGAATGCTATTTTGGCTACACATCCCCCAGATATCTCTATCTACCCCCTCACGTTCCCACAGCTCTACCCAGCATTGCTGTGATAGCCCTGAAAATCCTTCCAAAATGGCTTCAGGACTGACAATTAGTGGATCAAGGAAATGCTGTGGAGATAGTATACTTAGATTTCAGTAAGGCATTTGACAAAGTAGACAACAGACTACTTATTGATAAGATACAACAATGAGGGATGGACTGTACTGCCACCAGATGGATTCACAACTGGCTGACTAACTACACTCAATAAGTAGTCTTGAAACTACATGTACATGGGGGGAGGCATGCAATGGGTACAACAAGCTTCTATTTTAGGGACAGTGTTCTTCAACTTCTTCATAAATGATCTAGATGTGGGGATAGGTGAGCTTATCAAATGTTCAGAACACCAAGCTGAGAGAAATTATTAACACTTTGGAAGGTAGCCTCAAGATTCAGAAGGGTCTTGATAGACTTGCACATTCTCTATCCAGCAACATACAGTTCAGTGGTGAGAAAAGTACGGTCCTGAACTTAGACAGGAAAAAACAATGCATAGGCATAGTAGAGACAGTAGCTGGCTTAAGTACATTAACTGTGAGAAAGATCTAGGTGTGCTAGTGAATCACCACTTAGCAGAGCCGAGATGGCGCAGTGGTTAAATGCAGCACTGCAGGCTACTTCAGCTGACTGCAGTTCTGCAGTTTCGGCTGTTCAAATCTCACCGGCTCAGGGTTGACTCAGCCTTCCATCCTTCCGAGGTGGGTAAAATGAGGACCCGGATTGTTGTTGGGGGCAATATGCTGACTCTGTAAACCGCTTAGGGAGGGCTGAAAGCCCTATGAAGCGGTATATAAGTCTAACTGCTATTGCTATTGCTAACTATGAGCCAGCGGTATGCTGCAACTGCCAAAAAAGCCAATCCAGTCCTAGGCTGCATCAACTGAGGGATAGTATCAAAACCTTGAGAAATCAGTACATTGCTGTATATTATACTTGGAATACAGGTAGTCTTCAATTTACAACCATTCATTTAGTGACTGTTCTAAGTTACAACTGAACTGAAAAATGTGACTTACAACTGTTGCAGTATCCCCACGATCATGGGATCTAAGTTTGGTTGCTTAGCAACTGGCATGTATTTATGACAGTTGTATTGTCCTGGAGTCATGGGATCACCGTTTGTAATCTTCCCAGTTGGCTTCTGACAAACAAAGTCAATCGGAGAAACCAGATTTGCTTAGCTACAGTATGTTTCATTTAACAACAGCAGTGAATTGCTTAACAGATGTGACAAAAGGTTGTAAAATGAGGCATATTCACTAAATAGCTGCCTTGCCTAGTTTTTTTGGCTCAATTGTGGTCATAAGTCAAGAACTACTCATATTGCTTCCAGTTCTGGTCATCAGAATACAAAAAAGATTCTTTTTCCCTACCAAAGGTCTGCACCAAAGAGCAACAAAGATGATATAGGGTCTGGAAACTAAACTACAGGTAGTCCTCGAGATATGAACCTAACGGAGCCTGACCATTAGATTCATAAGTTTAAAAAAAAAAAATCATCAAACAAATCAGTCAATTTTATGACTTTTTAAAATCAAATTCAATAATCGAGTCAAATGGCTCGTTAAATGAACAAAGTATGGACTATTTCCTCTGATTAATTAATTGATTGCTACCATCCTTAACCGAACTGAGGCTTTCCTGCTGGCCACCTATCAGCTGTTTCTGATGCAGCCTTTGGCTGAGGAACTAAATTGCCTCCAAGCAGGCTCGCAGACCTCTCCTTTTGCAGTTGCTTTTTTTAAAAAACCATACATTTGCTGCTAGTCAGCTCAAGGTTCTTCAGACAGCTGCCCAGAGGGGGGTGGGCAGTAATTTACAGAACTCTCTGATTGCTGTTGCTTAAAAAAACCCACTTGCCACTAATTAGCTTAAGGTCTCTAGCCAGGTACCCAGAGGGGGATGGGATTTACACAGATCTCAGCTTGGAACAGTAACAGAGATGGAAGATATCTTGAGGTCATCTAGTCTAAGCCACTGCACTCACAAGAGCGTTTCTGATAAATGTCTATTCAGTGTCTTCTTAAAAACTTCCAGTGATGGAGCACCCACAACTTCTAGAAACAATTTAAATTCAAAACCTACAAACTACAGTAATATGCACTAATCTCCAGAATAAAAGTAAGATAACACAATACTATAGAATATTTAGGTGCTGGCTAGCATTTCTACAGTTTCAAGGCAAATGCAAAAAATATATATTTGCAAAGTACTGTACTTACAAACAATAGTTTGCAAAGTATAGTACTTAAAAAGCAGAGCAGTTCCCATAGTGCTTACAAAGAGTACAGTACTATAGAATAACAAAAAATATTTTAAAATAGAAGCAATTCATTTTAAAATATTTTTTGTTATTCTATAGTACTGTACTCTTTGTAAGCACTATGGGAACTGCTCTGCTTTTAAGTAAGTAAATTTTGTACTAGTTCTCAAGCCCAAACAGCACTAAAAAACCCAAAAATAAACTCAGCACCGCACCAGCTGTAAAAATCATTGGATATTGTTTGGCCATGTGACCAGGGAAAAAAAAACCCCAAACCCTACCGGCTTCAGGGAAATGAATTTTGTAACCTCAAAAGAGTCAGAGTTAAAAATGGCTGGTGGTGCTGTAGCAGTGACTGAATCTAAGTCACATGGTTACAGAGGCCTCTTTGTATCACAGGATTGCAGTTTTGAATTTCTAACAAGTACCCTTTCTGAATAAACTTGTTCTTGTGAAAATTCTCTAAATGAACGTTCATACTTAAGTATTACTTGTATATGATGAACGCTTAAGGGAACTAGGTATGTCTAGCTTAATAACTGATCAAGAAGAGATTCAACCTAGAAATGAGGAAAAATTTTCTGACAGTGAGAACAATCAACCAATGGAACAGCTTGCCTTCAGAAGTTGTGGGAGCTTCATCACTAGAGGCTTTCAAGAAGAGATTGGACTGCCATCTGTCAGAAATGGTATAGGGTTTCCTGCCTGGACCGGGGAGGGGGCTGAACTAGATGACCTACAAGGTCCCTTCCTACTCTTGTTATTCTGTTAACAAAGAGGATTAGCGGTGACATGTCAGGTAGTGCTGAGATTCAAATAATTTAACAATCGCTTCACCCAGGGTCAGGTTGACCATCATGGGAGGTGTGGCCCATCTCTGTCCTCTAGCTCCACCGCACATGTGGGATGAGCCTCCTGCAACAGCCAACCTAACCCTGGGCAAACCGGTTGTTAAATTTCCCCTGCCCCACCCACCCGCTATCAAACTGGATCCTGGGTGCTGCACTGCAATGGAGAAACGGGAAATGGAGCAGCCGGCACAAAAGGAGGAGGAGGAGCAGGGAGAAGAAAGAGGGAAAGCGGCATTCCCTCACACTGGTCGCTCTGTTTCTCATTTCTCCACTGCAGCGCAGCTCTGCACTATGAAACATGCCCCACCCACCACTGCCCAGATGCCTTCTCTTCCCCCAAGCATTTCTTTGCCTACCTGATTTCCAGCTCTGTTGCATTTCTCCATCCCATTTCTTACCGTTGTGTCCCGGGAAACCAAAGTTTGTGGGACTAAAAAAAAAAGTTTGATCAATCTATTCCAACTTTGCAAGATCTTCTTTTTCCACGACAAGTTGGAATTGATTGATTGAACTTTATGTTTTAGTCTCACAAAGTTTTGTTTCCCTGCACAGGAAGGTGAGAAACGGGATGGAGAAATGCAATAGAGCTGGAAATCGTGACCCGTCAAAAGCGCGGACGGCAAAAGCACGATCGACAAAATCGCGCCTTTGACGTCATCACAGCGTGACGAAAAAGTTCGAAAAATGTAAAAATAAAGCAAAAACC